AAGGAAGGAAGGGAGGGAGGGAGGGAGGGAGGGAGGGAGGGAGGAAGGAAGGAAGGAAGGAAGGAAGGAAGGAAGGAAGGAAGGAGAAATAGGGAAAAGAAACTATGAATCCTCTGTTTGCTGGTGCATCTCATTCAGGACTGCAGAAATCTGCTTCCTCATGACCCTTTCTTTCATGGCTCCCATGGGAATCTGCTGACGTTCTGTATGGAGCAGAGCGTCAGGAACATTAGTATCATGGGTTTTAAACAAATCAGAACAAAACATTCACAAGTGCCAAATAGAAGACATGTGGCATTTCCCGGTGCGTGCGATTTCTCTTTAAGAATGTTCATTACAGTCACGAAGCCGATACCCGGGAACTTAACTTGAGGTGTAAGTTACCGTACTTTCTGCTGCAAGCCATTTTATTTAAATCCTCAGGTCCTTTTGTTATTTTTGCGGAAGGTGGTGGGGCGGGGGGGGGGGATTCTTGTAGACACCCAACAAAGTTTTCAGGATGGGAAGGCAAACGCATATTGGGCAATAACCAAGGAAACCTAAGCCCTGGCATGGCCGCTGCCCACCAGGCACTTATTATAATTTTACCCGAATTATCCAAGAACCATTATGAAAGTTATCTCAGCAAAGGCATGCTAGCTATGAGACAAAATAACCCTGGACGGGGTGTTGCCTTAGGACTTGGGACCTTGGCTCCTTCCTGGGGCTTATAGTTATTTGTACATCTCAAACCTCTTGGCACTGCCAGCAAGTCTACCAGCTGCTCTTTCCCAACGCTCACTGCCAGCATTGAGACGCCAATGCCCACAGACTGTCACCCTGCCCGGCCTTTCATTTTAGATAAGCCCTATCTCTCCATTTATCTTTAGGCGATAGGAAGACCACCAAATTGCTGGTGGCATTTACCACCGTTTCTGACAGGTGAACGTGTTAGCTAATTAGGCCTTAGGTCATTCGTTACCTCTGTGAGCAAATTAGGCAAATTAACGTGTCTGCCTCCGGTGCAGATCCTGTCAGCCAGTGACCCTGGTCACTAATAATGTCAGCTAAAATGAGCTAAAATTTATGTTGTCCATTATAACAACTCTCTCCTGCCCCTGGTCATTGAGACCAGGGAATCATCATGTAAGGGAAGTTTAGAATCTTTGAGAAACCGGAAGTTATTCTCTCCTGCTTTCATATTCTGGTAGTGGGGCTGTTAACCTGAAGGCCTGTCCGCCTAACATGAATGGGGGGGGGGGGTTGTTTACGGAAAACATGCAAAAGGTCAACTCGGGCTCAGCCCCTTGGGTTTTGCAAACAGAGGCTGTGTTCCAGCAAAGCCCTATGACCCCATACAGCATGGCTCAGGAAGGTCCTGCATCAGCTCCACCAAAGTCCTGCTCTGTGGTGTCTGAGCTGCAATGAACACCTCTTCCAACCTTCCTCCACAGCGCTATCCCTCCACTGGATAGCCTCCATCCTAGATTGTCTTCTCCCAGGCTTAGTTCTGCCTCTGAACCGCCCCCCCCCCCCCCGACGTTCAGTCCGCTGACTTGAGGTGTCTCCTCAGTGACTACAGCTTCCACTGAGTCTAGGAGACTTCACACGTGGAGTTAAAGTCCCGCCTAATCACTCCTGTCACCCGGAAGAGGAGTTTGATTTTCAAACTCTGGTAACAATAAGTGCTATAAGGTTTTTATGTCTCAGTATTTGAAACAAAACAGGTTTAGTGGCCTTTCTCTTTCTTTCTTTCTTTCTTTCTTTCTTTCTTTCTTTCTTTCTTTTTTTTTTTTTTTGAGCTCTAATATTTCAAAACTCAAACACCAAAGCAAGGTTTCACTATGATAGACTTCAGTATCCACACCTAATTTTATGGCTGTCTTAACCGCTTTAGTAAAGTGCTATGCGTCACTACTGGCAGGCTGCTTCTCCTCAAGCTGTCCAGCCTGGTTGTAAATGCAGGTGGATAACAGAAAGTCGCTGCATCCTTGAAACAGCATCCCTGACGGGCATGCAGAAGCTTGTATGCTTGCCCTCATAACAGCGATGTGCAGGGCTCCAATCTGGCTTTCCTTCTTCGGGACAGGTGGCTAAGGGCAGATGTGGGGCAGCAATGGGAACGTCCCCTTATAAACAGCATTCCCCTACTGGCCTGTGAATGGGAGAGGAGCTCTAAAGTGTCTTCATCCATCCACTCTGGGCCACACAGTTTGTTTACATTTTCCCCTCCCATGCAGGAGTAATGCATATCTGCAGCATTTCCTGGGCATCTTGGGCACGGTATGTGCTCAGTTAGTATTACTGAATGCAATATATAAACAGAGAAGACAGGCGCTCCCACCCTCCTTGAGCTGCTCTTCCTTCCGTCAGAGCACACGTGGTAACTGTATCTGCCGCAGCTCCTTGTGTCAAGCAGTATCGCTTTTGAGAACTTTTGATCTTCCTTCCCGACTCCTTCCACGGTTCTCATGTGCATTGTAGATGCAGCGCGGCCGAATGGTATGGCATTATGTTGCTTTAACAACACCAGAAATCCCATCAGCAGGGCTACATGATTTTTGTGCCCAAGTATTTGCAACAGAACCGCACTGGTGACCTTTTTTAAAAAATCAAATTTCAAAACTTAAATGCCAAAACAAGGTTTCAGTGATTATAATACACTTGCAATAGTCACACTTAGTGAAAGGCAGCCTAACTCCTTTAATAATGTTTTTTTTTATCTGTGCTGTATGCAGAAGCTCGAAAGATCTCTTATCTTTTATTATCCTCTAGTCTTCCTTACTATTTCCCACCCTCCCGGGAGTCAGAGCGATGGCTTTCAACTTCCTGCTCACTTTCTTTAAGAGAAATGCTAGTATATCTGACTTCCTTCCTTTTGACACTACTCCACTATTAACGTCACTTCAGGTGACAACGGGTGAGTGATGTAGGTAGGAAAAAGTTTTCTTGATTTTTGGCAATGACGAAGAGGCCTCTTTTACCATTCTTTGGTTGTTTCGTCGGGTGACAAGTCAAAGGCTGGTCGTGGTTCATCGTGAGAAGCCTGGGACTACTTGGATGGAGTCTGTGGGTTCTGAGAAACAGCTAGGCTGTCTAGCCTTAGCACAGTGATTCTCAAACCTTCCTAATACTGCAACACTTGACCCCCCAACCATAAATTTCTTTGTAGCACTTCATAATTATAATTTTGCTACTGCTATGAATTGTGATATAAATATCTGATATGCAGGATATCTGATATGTGACCCCCCTGTAAAAGGGTCATTCAACCTCCCAAAGGGGATCTCAAGCCATGGGTTGAGAACCACTACCTTAGTGGCCCGTGGTACTTTTCCTGAAATTGCTGGCTACGGTTTGAGCACAGTAGAGAGCTTCCCCTTGCCTTGAAGCCCCTCCAGAGCCAGGGGGAAGAATCAGGCCCCTCCTTCAGGATTCCCAGGCTGAGGTATGCCCCCTTGGATGTAAAGTTATTCTCTCTCCCTTGACCTTCATCCCCTAGAGTGAAGAGTAACGCCTGTGCTTCTCCTGTTTGCTCTCTCTCAAACTAGAAAGCCAGCTCCCCCTTGACTTTTACGCTGGCTGCTGTGAGACTCCCCTCTTATACGCTAAATTCCAGTTTCAAATCCACCAGACCTAGGTTTGGATGTGTTGATAGGAGCCCAACAATGTTTAAAAGCCTTATCTTTTCTCATACTGCCCCACTAGAGGCTCAAAAGTCCCACTCAAAGAACCCCAATTCTCTCCTGTAATTCTTGGAGATAGAAAGAATTAGGGGCAGGCAAAGGAGTTTTGCTGTGGTTTGAGCTGAAAATGTCTTCAACAGGCTTATGTTTTGAATGTACGTTTTTAGCAGGATCTAGTAACAGGGAGAGGGGCTTCACTGGAGAGGGCTTCACTGGAGGGGGGCTTCATTGGAGAGGGGCTTTATTGGTGGAACTAAACCCAACTCAAACTCTAATATCTGCCACAATCTCTGGTTTGTTGTGATATAAACTGGCCTCTAATACAAATTATGAATGCTAAGCTGTGGGCTGTGCTGCTCCACAATGGCTTCCAGGGACATAGACTCAAACTCTCTGAAACTGCAAGCCAAAGTGAATCACTCCTCCTCTATGGTGCGTGTGTACTATTATAGCGCAGCCACACAAGGGCATTAATACAGCCATGCACACAGAAAGAAAGAAAAGCTCTCAGCGATGTTCAAATTGAATCACATCCATTATAGTTACTGTCAAGCGATGAATTATACATCTGGTTGTTGATGCACTTTCTCTATCTACCAGTCAGCTCCCAAAAACCACACAGAGACTTATTAATTATAAATGCTTGGCCAATAGCTTAGACTTGTTACTAACTAGCTTTTACAACTTAAATCAACCAATATTTCTTATCTACGCTCTACCACATGGCATGTTCATCTTCTGCTTCCTCTGCATCTGGCTGGTGACTCCCCCTTTCTTCTTCCAAGTTTGTCTCTCTGGCCAAACCAATTACTGCATAGCTATTGGCCAATCATCTCTTTATTAAACCAATGAGAGTAACACATATTTACAGTGTGTCAAGAGAGCACAGACACAAGAGAGACAAATATAGGAATCGGGGACCAAAGAAGTGGTTCTTATTGTTGTGAGTAAGCCTGACCATGTGACCATGTGATTCTTAGACCGTTAGAACTAACTTATGAGAATTTGAAGTCTGGAGATGCAAACTAGAGAACCCTTAGAATGCTATAAACAAAGACTAATGGGCGGTGACTGGAGCTCGGAATATCAGAACGCCAGCCAAGAGATGTGCGCAGCAAGGACCAGCCTCAAGAGACTTCAGAAACAAACGATTCTACTGGGAAGTGGACTAGTGGACATTTGCATTCTGTTCTGGGCATTATTTATCTACACCTTGTCCCTCCTCTCCTCCCACTCCTTCCTCCCAACCTTCTCCTTCCCCTCCCCCCATCCACCCCTCCTCTGCCTCCATTCAGAAAGGGGCAGACCTTCCATGTGTGTCAACAAAAGCATAGCAAATCAAGTTGAGGTGGGACCAAGCTCCTCCCTCTGCACTATGGGCTGGACAAAGCAATCCAGTATGAGGAATAGGTTCCTGGAAGCCAGCCAAAGCATTAGGGACAGGCCCTGCTTCCATCACTAGGTGTCCCACACATAGATAGAGCTACATAACTATCACACATGTGTAGAGGGCCGAGGTTGGCACCATGCAGGCTCCCTAGCTGTCGATCCAGAGTCTGTGAGTGCCCATGAGCCCAGGTTAGTTGTTTCTGGGGGTTCCCTTGGGATGATGACCCCCCTGGCTCGTACAATCCTCCCTGTCTTCAACAAGATTCCCTGAGCTCTGCTCAGTGCTTAGCTGTGGATCTCTGTACCTGTTTCCATCAGTCCCTGGTCGAAGGCTCTCTGAGGACAGTGGGTAGTTACCATCTGTTTACAGGAGATGGCCAGTTCAGGCTTCTTAAGCACTATTGCTAGGAGTCTTAGCTGGGGTCACCCTTTATATTATAGGATCACTATGAATGAGTCTTTGAAGACTAGAAAGGGGATCTTTTGCTTTAAATCTAAAATTTTCTTCGCAGACTCATTTTTGAAATTAATTAACTATTTTTTTAATGCATGAATGCTCTGTCTACATGTACTCCTGCATGCCAGAAGAGGATATTAGGTATTATTATAGATGATTGTGAGTCACCATGTGGTTGCTGGGAATTAAACTCAGGACCTCTGGAAGAGCAGTCAGTGCTCTTAACCTTTGAACATCTTACCACCCTGATGTGGGATGGCCTTCTGTGTATGTGTTGCTTTTATCAGTTGATGAATAACACTGTTTTGGACAATGGCTTAGCAGAGTAAAACCAGGTGGGAAATCTGAACAGAGATATACAGAGAGAGTAGGCAAAATCAAGGAGACACCATGTAGCTGCCAAAAGAGACAGACTCTGGACCTTACCAGTAATCCACAGCCTCATGCCAATACACAGATTAATAGATGTAAGAGTTCATTTAAGATGTAATTAATTTAAGATATAAGAGTTAATTAATAAGAAGCCTGAGCTAATTGGCCAGGCACTGTTGTGATTGATATAGTTTCTGTGTGATTATTCAGGCTTGGACAGCTGGGAATCAAATGCACAGACTCCGGCTGTGCCACCCCCACCTCCCACACAAGCTCACGTTTTTAAGTGCTTGGTCTCTAACTGGTGCTGCTTTGTCTTGGTGGAGGCGGGGGGGGGGGGGGATATGGACCTTTCAAGTGGGGAGGCCTAGCTAGCAGAAGCAAATCACTGGGGATGGAACTTTAAAGGTAACGGTGCCTGGCCACAGTTCCTGCTTTGTTTTCTACTTCCCTGACCACCTTGAGCTACCTGGGCTACATGCTCTCACCATCACAGATAGAGCTGATGCCTTTGCTTTTCCTACCGTGATTTATGGAAAATGTGGGTTGTTTATATCAGATATTATGGCCAGAGTGGTGAAAAATACAATCAATTATGCTTAGAGCCAAGCAGGGTGGGGAAAGGCTCCTTCTTCTAGCAGCACCCTGACAAACGTAGTGTAATTTACAACTGTCCTGGCTTTCCCTACTAGGAATATGATACAGGGTATGACGAAACTTGAAACACCCTCTGCTCAGGGCTGGAGAGATAGCTGAGCAGTTACGAGCACTTGTGTTCGAAGAAGACCAGATTCAGTTTCCAACACCCACACAGTCGCTCACAACCTTTTGCAATTCCAGTTCCAGAGGATCCGCCGCTCCCTGGTGGCCTGGTGGCTTCTATGAGCCCTGCCCTTGCATTCAGGCAAATGCTCATGCATAGAATATTAAACAATAAGTTTTTTAAATTCCTACGCTCTGATGGATCACATTAAGGCAAACACAGTAGCACTGAAACCAGCAGGCAACTAAAAATGCTGGCCTTCAGAATATGCTGGGGTTTTTGCGTATAGAATTGTTCTCTTCTCACGTTCCGAGAAAGGAAGCATGAGGGACAAGGCATGAAAGATTAACAGAAAACTTAATCTTCCTGAAACAAGCAGGGTATTTGAAATCAATAGCAGTAGGGATTCAGATTTTGAAGCTTTTCACCAAGCTCAAAATAACCACTTTCAAAATTAATAAGCACATTCCATCTAAAATGGAAATCTGAAGGCCGAGGGAGGGTATCTGAGTCAGATTCCCCGGGGCTGGGCTGGGGCGTGGGCTGGACTGGGGTGTGGGCTGGACTGGGGTGTGGGCTGGGGCCTAGGCCAGTTACCCCACCACATCTCCCTTAATCCAGGTAACGACCCTGCAGAATGACTGTTATCATTTCTATAGCTTTCAGATAAGAAGTTGAAGCTCAGAGGTGTTGAATGAGGAGATGGACTAATACACGCTCACAGAAACCCTGCCCCCTTAACCAGTGACACCATACAGTACAATCTGTCGAGAACAGGAGGCCAAAGACACTGCAAAAACAGAAATTGATTTACTCAGAGTCTTCAAGGTGATGTACGATCTGAATTTTGGGTTAATCTTTGTAGCATTTTTTTTTCCTGGAAGTCACAAGAATTTATTCAACTCATATACAGAAAAAGAAGCCGTGGCTAGGCATGGTGGATACGTGTTCTTCACGCACTGCCGAAGCAAACGGTCCCATTAAAAGGAAGGCCCGGGAGGAAAGCTGACGTCAAAATCAACTTATTGCCAGAAATCGACCTTCGATTTAAAATACAGGCACCTGGTGTTTTAGCTCGTGTCAGGAGCACACTTCCCTAAGATTTTATGTCAAAAGCCAGGCCTGGTTCAATACACCACCTGCCGCACGTTCTGTTCTCTGTGGGACGCTGAAAGGTGAGTGGAAGACACACAACCCAAGGCTGTTTCTGTGACCTCCTCACCAGCTGGCTGGCTGTCCTCACCTTCCCAGTGACCTGAGCCCGTGTTTGTTTTCAGCAACGCACTCAGGAACATCACTGTCCTGGGCAGTCAGCCTTGGACTGGAAAGGAACCCGTGAGACCATAAGGCTGGTAACTGAACTCAGTAAGGAGAAGGGACGAATTTTATAAGGATGAAAGTCCGTCGTAACCACAAACACATCCAGGGCTGCTGCCCAGTGCAGCCAACACTGTGGGGTTATGACGTTCAGAAGGTGGTCAATTTTAATTTGGGTTTGAGAACAGCGTGTTTTATAGAATTCCCTCATCACTACTGAGTGCAACACATTGGTTAAACATTAATTTTTTTTCCTATGGAGAGAGCCCTTCGTTACACAATTACACAATCGTGGCTGACCTCCCTCTGCCTTAGCTACGTCACGACCTTTCACAGCTGGCTCGTTAGCCCTCCACCTTGGCTTGCATTTTATTTTCTGTTCTTCCAGTAACTATTGCTGGTTCTCTTATTGTGTGTTCCCACACTGAAAAAGTTCAGCTATAAAAGATTTAAAACACAAAGAAATATATATTTAATATCGCTGCCTGGGTAGTTAACACACAAATTACATCTCATTAACATGCTGCCATAGGTGATGAAAGGTTCACTTTTAAAAGGAAAGATTTTATCGCAGCCCTCACCGCATTCCCTACTCAAGATGAACTTTACCTATTTCCTGAAAAGACCCCTGTGCCCTAGAGGGGAAGTGGGTAGACATCATATGAGAGGAGACGGAAAATTACTTGTCAGTATTTACTTATGAGACGGTTAAAGATATTATGTACACATTAAATATTAGCTGTAACATTTCAGACAACATTACAGAGACTTCTACATGCTATACATGCTATACAGTGTTTATATCATACTACAGATTGAGTACCTTTTATCCCAAAGACTAGAGAGCAGAAATATTTCAGAATTTGAACTTCTATTCATATTTTTAAAGTCTTTTTATATGAATAATGAGGTATCTCGGGTATATGACCCAAGGACAAGCACAAATTTGACTGGTGTTTCATATACACCTAGTCTGAAAGCCCCTTTAGGCAACATTTTTAGTAATTTACGCATGAAACAAAACATACTTACGCTGAACCACCAGAGGTCAGATATGCAACTCAGCATCTGTGGACAGACACGTCAACGGTCACAAGGTTATGTCTTCGGAACGTTTCAGACTTAGTATGTTTGAGTTAGAGATGCATGTATGAGTGTGCATATGCGAATGTACGTGGGTATGAATGTGCTTACACATGTGTTCTACTATTTGCTCCTTTGTACTGCATTGACGTTTTCCTCCAAACATCCATGCTTATACATGAATATATGCACATATGTATGTGTGAGCACATGAGTTTCTCTATTACATATGATCATATGTTGATATTCAGTCGATTTGAATTAGATATTATGACACTACCCTACACAATAATTTACCAAGTTACATTTGTACCAATCAGGCATCATTTTCTGTTTACCCGTATGCTTGCCACTAAGTCTGCTGTTATTAGCCCCAGAGCTGTCTTGCCAATGTGGTTGTTGTAAATGGCATATTCTATGTTTCCTTGACTATTACTGAGATTAAACATTCTTATGAATGGCTGGCATATAGTTGAGTGGAGCCATCCAACTCCAGTTTATTCTCCGTTTATGAGAGTTATTCCCAGGAACCAAGAGCAGGGATAGCTCTCCTTAGGCACTTCCCAGCCTGATGTACCAGCTCCTGAATAATGAATGACACAGAGACTTTTGGGGCTTTTTATTGTTGTTGTTGTTGGTTGGTGTCAAGACAGGGTTTATTTGGGTAACCACCTGGCTGTCCTGGAACTCATTCGACACAAAGACTTTTTATTAATTATGAAAGCTTGGCTTTAGTTTAGACTTATTCTTTTTTGTTTCTTTGTTTGTTTGTTTGTTTTTCGGGACAGGGTTTCTCTGTAGCTTTGGAGCCTGTCCTGGAACTAGCTCTTGTAGACCAGGCTGACCTCAAACTCACAGAGATCAACCTGCCTCTGCCTACCAAGTGCTGGGGTTAAAGGCGTGCGCCACCATCGCCCAGCTTATTCTTAACTAGCTCTTAAAACTTAACGTAGCCCATTTATATTAATCTATGTTCTGTCACATGGCTCATTACCTCTCCTCAGTCTTGTGTATCTGACTTCCTCCGCATCTAGCCAGGTGAATCTCCTCTGCCTCTGGTTCTTTCCCAGAGTTCCTATTTCTCCCCCAGAAGTCCCGCCTGTCCTCTCCTGCCCAGCTATTGGGCATTCAGTGCTTTAGCAAACCAATCAGAAGGTGCCTTACGCAGATGGAAGAAGGACAAAGACATCTTCACACAGTGTATAAAAAGGTTATCTGAACAACGGCATCCTTGAACTTATTGCTATCCACCCCTCCTGGCTGCCTGTTTCGCCTTTCCAGGCCTTCTCTCAGAGCAGGGCACACCAAGGCTTTTAGACGTATGGATCGTCCCTGATACCCAGTCTCTGAACTTCTTCAATTTTTACCATAAATTCTCACTTCCTATGGTGCCCAGCAAGGGCTCACCATGGTATCTACTGTGACCAAATGAGTTTCTATCTGCAGTCAACCTGTCTGCCAGGAGTTTTGCTCTACCACCCAAACCCACAATAGATGTGAGGCCAAAGGGGTCTGTGGCCTTATCCAGAGGGCAGGGCTGCCTGGCTTTCATCTGCCTTCCCTTCTGGAATCAGCTTCCGAATCCCCTTCCCTATCAAAGAATTGTGGGACTGGGACTGTGCTTGGCTTGTTGTTCTGTGCCCTGTGCCTTGATTTTTGCTGCTAGCCAGTGTTGCCTAGCTTCCTTTGTGGGTTTTCAAAGATTCCCCTCTATTTTTGTCTTTGGGATAAAGTCTGTATTCTCTCATCTTCTCTCTCTTTTTTTCAGGTCACACAGCAGCAGCCTCGAGCCTACGCTCTATCTGGAGGACTTCTGGCGTTTGTAGTAGATGCTGGGGGGGGGGGGTCACTCCAGCCTGCCCTGTTATTGTTATATGTCGTGTATTCCATCTGCCTCTTTGCTACCAGCTGAGGCGATCTCCCGGGTCCTTCCTCTTCACTCATTTGCTAGCTGTGATTAGCCATGTCTGTAACCTGTGATTAGCCATGTCTGTCCCCAATTGCAGCTGTGTTCTCCGTGTTCCACTCTCCTGTTTATCCATACTTTATTCCAGTGAATCATGCAATGTCCTACAAAGTCCTCTTTCACATGGATGTCCTGCCTTGCCCCTTTTCATTAAGTCACCAATTTTATCAAGAAAATGGGGGGAAACGAAACAACACCAGGTGTTCATGCCCTTGCACTTTGAATTGGGCAGCGCTCCATCACAGTGGCAAAACACCCCTGGTAAACAGTTAAAAAAGACAATATTTACTTTGGCTCTCCGCTTTGGAGGTTTTAATCCACAGTCACATGGCCATGTTGATATGGACCTGTAGGAGGAAGAAATGGTGGGGATCCCATCGAACGAAACCATTTACCTTGGGGTGGCTGGGAAGGAGGGAGAGTGGAGGGGGCTGAGTCCCATGCATTCTTGGAGAGTTGTGGGATAGAGTATTTATTTAACAAAGTAAAGATGTGCTGCATTTATTTATGCTGCATTTGTTTAACTATGTATAGAAGGGTTGCTGTTTCACCTTGCCTGACCAAGGCACCTGATTGGTCTAATTAAAAAAAAAAAAAACTGAATGGCCAAGAGCTAGGCAGTAGAGGGATAGGCAGGGCTGGCGGGTGAAGGGGGGAGGCAGCCAGTCAGACTCAGAGGAAGCAGGAAAGCAGGATGGACAGAACATAGATGAGTTGAGTGAGCCTTGGGGCAGCACAAAGATGAATAGAAAAGGGTGGATTTAAGTTTTTAAAAAAAAAAAAAAGTTAGCTAGAAACAAGCCTAAGATAAGGCCAAGCATTCATGATTAATAACAAGTCTCTGTGTCATGATTTGGGGGCTGGTGGTCCAAGAAAGCCGGCAATAGTCCACTCTAGTCCACCTGTTGTTGCCACTGTCTCCCAATAGAGCCACAGGATAGTAACAAAGCCTTTAATCCCTGAGAATGTAGGAGCTATTCCAAAACAAAACCCTCACACTGTGAGTTCGACTTCAGTTTGTCTCGGTTTGGTTTTGAAACCTTGTAATGGACCCCAGCTTGACTATGTTGGCTTGGCTCTCACAGCTTTGCCTTTCACTGATGGTGACCCTGGTAGCCCTGGGGACCCCTTCGATGATATCTCTACTGCCCCAATGTTGTAGGTTTCCTAGCGGGAGTCTGGTAGCCCAGTGTGGCTGGTGGGGGTGGGGATAGGACCCCACTGTGGGGGAGGCAGCTACTGGTGATGTTTCTAATCGCAACAGCAGGTCCAGTCTGATGGTGGAGGAAGTCAGTGGGTCTGGTGACAGACAAGGTTTTATGGTGGGAAAAGTCAATGAGTTTGAGGGGAGAAGAGGTTTATTGGGCTGTTTTCTGGGTCCATTTATGGATTTGAGAAGTAGCAGATGGAGGAACAAAACATGCCTGGTCCCTTTAGTTTTTTTGCCCATCACCAGCCTCACGTTGACAGTGCTTCGAGCCCACCATTTTACTGAAAGTGTCTGGTTTATAATATAAAAATTGATATTTCCTAACTTTTCTGCTTTCCCTTATTCTTGGATGTGGTTGTTCCCGGGGCGGGGGTTGGGGGGGATTGTTTCAGGTTTTGGCTATAATTGTTGTGTGAGTCTCCTCTGTTTCCTTCATGGGAGTCCAGTACACATTGACCTCTGAAGTGTTCCTAGACATTAGCTATGCATTTGCTTCCGCCAGAGGCTGAGTACCTCTCCCTTGTCGGACCTGTTTTGCACTAATGTAATCATCTGATAACGGTAGCACAATGCAATGCCATCAACTGTCCTTCTATAAC